TATTAGTTATGTGGAGTTGTTGTCCTCTCATTAAGATTTTCCCCTTATTTAATCAACTTGATATCCATCTGTGTTTTGAAGTTGTGGTTCAACTAGTGATGGAGTTAAACATTTGGACTCCTCAGATGAAATGATATTAGAAGTTTATACATCAGCAAGAAAAGCTATCATAACTGCATTTCTTTCTCGTCTTGTCTTATTATCCGGTGTTGTGGGTGGCCATTAGGGAAATTAAAGTCGGAGGTGTTTGTCCTACTTGAAAAATAACTTCTTGCCTTGACATGTGTCTTCATTTTTCCTATTTGTTTCGGGATGAAGGCATGGGAAAAACACTTCATTTGTTTTCATGCCTTCTCTTACTAAAATGTATAGGATTTGAATTAGTTGGGCAAGATTTAGGAGGACGCTGGCTGGATGTGTTAGCTCTGTTAAAGGAGACATCAAATTTCGAGATCTTTTTCTATCCCAAGTCCCAGTACATATCCATTACCTTGTATAAAAAGTTCTTTTTATTAGTATTACTTTCGGGTTTGTGGGGAGGGAATAAACTGGAGTTTAATTAAAACCATTAGTGCGATAGTCACTTTTAATGTATATAGACTATAGAGAGAGACTGGTTGTTGGATTCTAAAATTTGAACTTGACTTCAAGCTGTAAATTTTATGTGTGAATATGCGCTAGTGATCATTTTCCTTCACGAGCTTTGTGGTAACTTCATAATCTCCTGCACCATTTTGTTTGAATAGATAATCTCACCTGCTATGATTCTTGCTTGCAGATATTTACATGATATAATCTACATTACATGTTTTGTGCAATTGGCTTCTATCATCTCCGGCAAGTTCTGGTACACATATCTAGTGGTAAGTTTATTTTACCTCTGTCCATGCTTTAGTTACACGGCGCAGTCATTTTTTTGCTTTTTGAGAATGGAACAGAGCATATAATTAGTAGGAACTATTCATATCCACTGCTGCCAAAATTTCATAAACATAAAATGTTGGGAATGTGTTATTTCTGCTGTATTTCTTCTTGGTATGCTCCATAGTTTGTCTAGCCATCACCACAATGTCTTGTTGACGACATTGAAAACAGGCTGCTTTTGTCGTCAATAAGCAATGATCTTTCGACAACTGCTTGTTGATTTATGAGTAAAAAAGATGCACCTGAAGAAAGAAGAAAATAATTTGACCTCCTCAACATTCTTTCATATATTTGGTTAGGAATTAAGTTTAGATTACTAGCTGCTTGAGTGCTACAGCATGCTTCCTGTGGATGCGTGGATTAGTCAAGGTGCATGGAAACTAACCTGGATGATAGTGTCATTCAAAAGGGAAAAAAGTTAACGAGTTCCTCAGAATCCATCAAAAAAGCAAGTGATCTAATAACCAAATTGCACCACTCCTTTTGTCAACTTCTTTTAATGACCCTTTTTCCCTTACTCTCTTTTTGCAGTGGTGACTCTCGAACCATTCATTTTTGAAATAAAGGTATCCTGAGTAGTGCTTTACTCATGTCTGGGAATGGTGACGGGCACAAATACATTGTGGTCTCTGCAGCAGTAATAGTTGATATGCATAATCGGTAGGAAATCTATGATAGAAGGGAGAATTTTGTGGTATAGTTTGGAAATGATGAAAGATTTCCCTAACATAAAATGTCTTAATAAATATAAAATTTGCTGCTACTAGGAGATTGTGCAATAGTAGCTTAGGGAAATAGCGAAACTAGTTCAATTTTCAGCACCCGGAGGCACAGACTTCAGTTAAGGGTGTAAAATTTTAAGAAAAGCAAGAAGAGTGTTATACATGCATAAATGAAGGCTAAAAAGGCCTAAAAGACTTGTATATAAGGAAAATAAAGTTGAAGATAGGACGCAATGGAAAGATGGCATTGCAAGGAAAGCAAGTTTGTGTTTTCCAAAAACAGCCCACTTTCTGCAAAATCTCTTTCTTTATGCAGAGAGCCAAGCATTGAATAGTGGTTAAATAAGAGTTATGGTAAAAAACACACTTGAACTATCACCTTTTTTGCGAGTTTCACACCCGCACTATCAGTTGTTTCTTTTTTCTTACTTGAACTATCACCATCTATGTATTAAAACACACCTCAAAGATGATAAGTCCAACTATCAATTGTTTCCTTTTCCAACCTGAACTATCATACCATCTACTCAACTAGGTGTGTCTTAATATATAGATGGTGATAGTCTAGGTAGGAAAAGGGAACAATGGATAGTTGGGATGTGAAACTCGCGAAAAAGTGATAGTTCAGATGTATTTTGTACTATTATCTCATTAAATAACTAACGAGATTTTTAGGTTATTTGATTGATCTGCACTAAAATTATGATTTCCCTTTCCAGATACCTGCATTTGCAGCGTACAAGCTCTCCGGACTTATCAAAGGATTTTTACCTCAAGGTTCAGAGGTTCGTGTTAACAATAGGGAATTAAATCTTCATAGATCAAACATTTTCTTAACTAGTTGGCTTAACGTTTCTCATGATTATCCAGGATGCTGAAGAGGATGAGAAGACCCGAAAGAAAAGAGAGAAACTGGAGAAGAAAGCTTCAAGAACCAAATTCGTCAAAACAAGAGCTCGTTAGTTCAAACATTGTGTTGTAGTGATGTAGGTGTCGTTGAGACCTATGTATCGGCTGATGAGTAATGTTTCCCCTCGAATTTCAGGGAAAACGTGCTTTAGCACACGTGTTATCTCGAGACTGGCAATCGATGTACTCTTATGTTGTTGGAAATTATTGCTTTGGGTATACATACTTTGTATGATCACCAGATACAGATACATTTTTGTTTGTTTAATATGTATCTGTGTATGTCTTTGGTCAGCAGACTAAATCTTCCCCTTTTAAGAACCTGTACCATGAACACATAGTCACCATTTAGCTACATTTTGGTGTAAATAGGCATAATACATACTCTTAACTTTGAGAGTGCATATCGACACATTAACTTGATCTCAACTGACAACTAACTCTATCATGTCCTCATTGTGTCTCATGGACACTATGCTGATATGACATAAAGTTTGGAGGTGTCTAGATGATTATTTTGTAAGTTTGGACTGTTTAGTTGTCAGTTGACGTCAAGTTAAAGTCGTTTATATCGTGCGATTTAACACTTGATTTTTACTACTCTTTTTAGGGTTTAAGATATAATTATGTTTTATGAGTATTACTCCCATAGTGTCTCATATCACATTCCACACAAAAGTGCTCCCTAACAAAGATAGATTACATATTCAGAAATCGAACTTGGGATTCTATTTTTATGAGATTATGGCAACATCCCTTAGTAATCTTCTGGAGATATAAAATATGCAATGACCTTTATGCCCCTAATGTTCTGTGAAGAACTTAATAGCTAAGGAAAGATAAAAAAAAATGGACTAAATTATTTTAAAAGATCATATATTAATTCAACTTACTAACTTGCAAGAGGATGTATGCAATCTGGAGCTTACATTTACTCTAATTATTTTTCCAATTTGGATTAAAATAAAGTTAAGACTTTGACTACTTGTGAGACTTAAGAACTAAGATATTCATCTTTTTTTTTAAAAAAATAAAAAATAAAAATGAACTGAGATTGGTCAATATATTTTAACGAGTATTTCCTCCTTTAATGAATCCTACATCGAGCATATTCAAATTAATCAGGATAGTAATTTCATATAGCGGATTAAAACAAAATAAACTATTTATAGTTTTTCTAAAAATTATATGTCAAAAAATTAATTAAATATACTTTATTTAAAAACAAAAAAAATAAAATAAGAAAAGACAAGGAAATGAATGCAACAATAAATACAATTGGTTGAAATTATTGTTTTAGTCAACCTTAGAGTATAAATAAAGAAGAAAATATGTATATACAAGAATACAAAACTAACTTGGCCAAGTAAAAGAAGAAACTTCATCCTCATTTTCCTGCCATGTGTATTCATTGATTGATCATAAATCAAGATAATATCTTTATTACACTGATTTGACATAAGGGTGTGTTTGGCATCTAGTAATTTTCAAAAAAATGTTTTTTCTTATCAATGTAATTCTATAAGTAACGTCTGAATAGCGTAAATTGTATGCAATCACCCTACCCCTGCCTTTTCAATATATTTAATTGAAAGTAGAAAATATTTCGTGGAAATACGTTTGTCAAAGATCGATGATAATATTAACAAATCAAATAATATTGATATGATTTTATTTTTGAGTATTTTCCAATAATGTCTAAATAAATGTTATATTATAGGGAAAATTACACGGATAAATAAACATATTCTAATTAGTTAGTTAACATAGCTACAATTTGCCTTAATTACAATTCACAATCTATTTTTAGCTATAATTACATGACTCGATTTTTTTGTTTTGTATAATTCGCATGTTTGTATATTTCAGAATTTGTATAACTTTTGTATAATATAATTTGTATAACTATTTAAAGTTTAAATGTTTGTATTTGTATAAATTCGTTATTTCGAATTTATACAAAAATAGTTGAATTATATGAATGTACCTGCGAATTATACAAACTCATGAATTATACAAACGAGACAGCTTAAACCGTAGCTACAACCCGTAAATATCCATGGAGAAATTATTTTTTGCTAATTATATTTTTTTTTTTTTAAAAAAAATAGTTACAGTTACGGAATTCATCACTAATGTATCATATTATATAGCAAGTAACTCATCAAATTCATTGATAATCTGTCATCAAATAGAATTGACAATACATTTTTGTTGTTTAGTTATAAAAATTGTCTATCACTAATTCATATTATTTTTTAATGTACACACAAAAATGACTCATTTTTGATGTTTTTTTATATTCCCCATCACCAAACACTCCCTTGATTGGATTATTATGAAAACTTGAGTTGATAAGACAACTTTGACCTTTTCTTCTTCACAAACTACTATATATATGGTGCTACATGTTAAAGTGTAGAAACACACTAAAAAAAAGCTCAACTACTAGAAACATTATTTTTTTATCAAAAAAATGGTGCAAATAAATATGAAAATTGCAATTTCATTAGTGATTGTGATAATTTTCTTGAGATGGATATGGAAATTCTTGGATTGGGTGTGGATTCATCCAAAAAAAATGGAAAAAAGACTCAAATTGGAAGGTTTCAAAGGAAGTTCTTACAAGTTTTTACTTGGAGATATGAAGGAAATGAATTCAATGGTTGAAGAAGCAAAATCCAAGCCTATTAATTTCACTAATGACTATATTTCTAGAGTTTTCCCTCACTTCAACAAGTTCATGATGCAATATGGTATGTCATCTCTTTTCAACTTATTATTATATGACATAGTTTGATTGAATTTATATTATTCAATTTTAATTTTTTTAAAATATTATTGCATTCGTAATCGGTTTTTTCACTTTCACTATTTTTTAAGGATTTGACATATATGATGTATATATTCATTTGATTCTTTTTGAAAAATCTGAATAACATAAGATTGATCGAAGTTTAGAAAAGAAATTAAAAATTTCAAAAAGTGTGGTCTTTAAATATGATGTAACATTTATGTGGTTATAATTTTTTTTAAATTTGTAATCCTATATATATAATATCTATGTGAAAAAAAAAGACTAAAGAGGTTTGAAAAGAGTAGTCTGTTCACACTGCTATAAAAAAATTATTTACACTAGTATAAATACAATTTAAGTGATTATAACAAGTTATTAATTAATTTCCTAAATTACCATATTAGGATTAATATAAAAGTTTGAATATAAATTATATACTTATTTTGAGTATAAGTTTTATGCACTCACGATATAAGCAATTCTATGATAAGCTTCAACTTATATCAAGTAAAATTAGTAAATAATCTGGCAATCTACTAACACATGTTAAACTACATCATTAGGTCATTTTCACCTATTTGTTTTCAAGATTTTTAATCCTACATTTAAGGATGTTACATTCAAGTATCATTTAAATTTTTGAATGATCTAATAATGTACAATATTATTTATGCTGACGATATATATAACTTAAAATTATTATGTATTTTGTAGGTAAGAATTGTTATATATGGTTGGGTCCAAAACCAACAATGTTGATCTCAGAGCCTGAATTTATAAGGGAAATTTTATCAAAAAGTTATATTTACCAAAAAATTCAAGGCAATCCAATCACTAAGTTACTAGCACAAGGGCTAGCAAGTTATGAAACAGAGAAATGGGCTAAGCATAGAAGAATTATCAACCCTGCATTTCACCTTGACAAGTTGAAGGTACTTTTAATATCTAATTTATTTATTTTTTCATTTGGTGTCTGATATTTACTGTATGGTCGGACGGATTGTGGTCATACAAGTTAGAAAGGAAGTTGCCCTTTTTGGTCCCTAGAAGTTTCTAAATTGTAATTTAGATTCGTGTTGAAAAGTCTTACTTTAAAAGGTAAAACACTTTGTATCAAGGCGACTCCATTCAAGGGACTTGGATCCAGAGCCAATAATATAGTTATAGCTCGGGCATAATCCAATAATTTTGGTTCAAGCTTTGTATTTGTGGTTTAAAAAACTTAATAATTTATTCAGAACCCGTTAAACAAAAAGAATTATGATTCACAACTCATAAACTAAAAGCTTGGATCCACCTTTCTTAAACTTGTCAACTCGATACATTTAATTAAACATGGAGATACTTACGACCCTGTCACGACCTATAAGGGACATCCTAGATCACTTTTTTTTAATTACATCGGGGCTAGGGAAATAGGAAACTGAGGCAGGGGATTACAAGGTGGGGAGTCGAACCCTCATCATAAGATGAGAATTCAGGTAGCCAATTAACTGAGCTATTACGATCTCACACATCTTAAATCACTTTTTTAACTATGATTAATTATTATTATTTTTGTTTGTATATATAGCACATGCTACCATCATTCTACTTGAGTTGTTGTGACATGATCAACAAATGGGACAATATAGTTTCATCAAAGGGATCAGAGGTAGATGTATGGCCATTTTTGCAAACTTTGACAAGTGATGCAATTTCAAGAACAGCATTTGGTAGTAACTATGAAGAAGGGAGGCAAATATTTGAGCTACAAAAAGAACAAGCTGATTTAATTATACAAGCAGCAAGGTGGATTTACATCCCTGGATGGAGGTATATTCCACTTACAAATTATATACGCCGATATATTTTCTATCACGTTAAAGTAACTGAACTTTATACAAAGGTAAAAATAAAGTCGTAAAAACTATTTTTTGTATATATACATAATGTCAAGGGATTTAAGTGGTGTTGATTGACTCCCTTGGACAAGGATAGTTCCGCCCCTATCTACGCCATATATTTAACCTTATGATCATTTGCATTTTTTGAGAAAATCACATAAATATAGTTCAATTACTTTAATGTGATAAACAATTATTTCTTGACTTTATACTTTTATCAATTAGATAAAAACCAACAAGGCTTGTGGTAGAGTGGTAAGTACTCCTTCATCCTTAAATCAGAAGTCTCGAGTTCTAGTACCCCTGAGTACGGATTCACTTTACTCCAAATGTGGGACTTCCCAACGCGAATTTGGATTTTATTGTTATTCTATTAACTCTTGTTTTTGATATGGAACAATAGGTTTGTGCCAACAAAAAGGAACAAGAGGATAAAACAAATAGCAAATGAAGTAAGATCATTAGTGTTGGGAATTATCAACAATAGAATAAAGGAAATGAAAGAAGGTGAAGCTACAAAAGATGATTTATTAGGTATATTATTGGAATCAAATTTCAAAGAAATACAAATTCATCATGAAAACAAGAATTTTGGAATGACAATTGATGAAGTGATTGAAGAATGCAAATTATTTTATTTTGCTGGTCAAGAAACTACTTCAGTATTACTTGTTTGGACTTTGATTTTATTGAGTAAACATTTGGATTGGCAAGAAAGAGCTAGACAAGAAGTTCATCAAGTATTTGGAAGTAACAAGCCTGACTATGACATGTTGAATCAATTGAAAGTTGTAAGTATACATTCTTGTTATCCAAAATTTTATCTGTGTTTGGTACGACAAAAATCATTTTCTGATGTTTGGTATGACAGAAGTCACATTCCTTAGAAGACGTTTTTCTATCAAAATAAAGATAATGAGTTCAATACTTCACTTCGACATTATCATCAAACCTAACTTTTCGAATGAAGATGTGACCTATATGTCATAGGTTCGAGTCGTGTTATATGTACCAAATATGTTGACATTTTCAATATTTTTGACTACTTATTTCTTTTAACAGGTAACAATGATATTCAATGAGGTTCTAAGGTTGTATCCACCAGGAGCTATGATTGGTAGAAGAGTACAAAAAGAGACCAAATTAGGGAACTTGTCATTGCCTGCTGGGATGTTACTATTGTTGCCAACAATTTATTTGCAACATGATAATGAAATATGGGGTGATGATGCAAAAGAGTTCAATCCAAAGAGGTTTAGTGAAGGAGTTAATAAAGCAACAAAGGGTAAATTTGCATATTTTCCATTTAGTTGGGGACCAAGAATATGCATTGGACAAAATTTTGCTATGTTAGAGGCAAAAATGGCACTTGCAATGATTCTACAACACTATGCTCTTGAGTTATCTCCATCTTATTCACATGCTCCTCATACAATTATCACTCTCCAACCTCAACATGGTGCTCCATTGATTTTGCGCAAGTTGTAGGATCGGTTCACATCAGAACTCTGAAGTTAAAGCGTATTTGGATGAGAGTCTATAGTACTAGAATGGTTGGCCCTAAGAAATCTCATGTTGCATTCCTTCTTTATCCATCTCCAATTTGTGTTGTAATTGTTAAGTTTGCTTGTATGAGACGTAAAGTCCTCGTGTTGAATTTCTCCTTTAAACAACCTTAGTTTGTTTGGGATTGAGACGTAATTATTGTTGTTGTTTGTCATAGGGTGGATATATAGATTTGATATATCTACTTTAACTAGTATGTACTTTACTTTATTCTAGCTACAACTCTTGTTTTTGAGCTCTCACCATGTTATACACAGTTCAAAACTCACAGCTTCGTCGATAATATCATAATACTATACATACTATAGTGCGGAAATAGGTCTATCACACGACATACCAGTCATAAAAATAGCTCCCTGCTCCCTGTCAACTACAACGAAACACAGATTAAGTTCTTGCGCATAGCAGCAGCCGCGCTACTTCAGAGATGAAAGTGACGATCTGATCCCTTAGACAAATGCAAAGAAATTACTAGCAATGTCATTTCTTCACGCAGTTCATCCATCTAGAAAGAAGTTCCCTATCTTTCCGAGTTAGCCACGAAAAAGAGAAAAATATTAGAAAGGAAAATATGCATGTATTTATAATCTTCGAGAAGATAATTTGCTCGATCAAAGGAGATCTTTACTTCTAAGTGCCAAGACAATCGTAACTTTACATTCAATGACAAGACTATGTCTCTGTCCACTGACCTGATGAACAGTTTGCAGTGATTTATTGCTAGGCACGTGAGTGGCCAAGTCAGGCGTGAGCCCTCGCACACCAATGCAACCTTCCTGCTCGACTCCGGGAACAGAATTTATGAAATAGAAGTGATCTTCATAGAGCTCAGACAAACTCGAAGAAATTACTGGATACTTCACTTTTTCATGCAGGTCATCCATCTAGTAAACCAGGAAAAATAAGCATATTAGAAACATAAGAAGGCAAATATTTCTAATCACTCAGATATATATGTTGCACATAAAAGATGATAGGTGGTTAGATCATCAAAGTTTTTCTTTACTGTTAAACTTCACATTCAAGGACAAGATAACGTCTCCGCCCACAGACCTGAAGATCTCCGAGTAATTTTTTGCTAAGCACATGAGCAGCCGAGTAAGGCGAGAGCCCTCGCGCACCAGTACAGGCTTCCTGCTCCACTCCTGCACTGGTATTTGTGAAATTACTTAATTGCTATTCAGAATCTTCGTAAACTTCACCATCATCAGAAAGTTCATCAAAAGCTCTAACATCAAGCTGGTAGCGGAGAATTCCTCCAATGCCACCAAAACCACGGCAAAACTGAGATCCTTCCTGTGATTTGTTGGTAACAAACTCCAAACTACAACCAAATCTCCTGTATTCATTCGCAAACCACTCAAGTAGTGACAATTTATCCTGAACTTCTAATTCAGCATTTGTATCAGGATCACGGAAGTTACTTTGGACAGTGTCTTGCTCCTTGTTCAAGTGCTTGATGATTGTTTCTCCGGAAGTGTTATTTTTCAGAACATACCTATTAATGTCCAGATTTTCCCACACAATAAGGGTCTCAATAGCACCCATTTCCAGAACTTTCAAGGTATCATCAATCCCAAAAACATACTTCCCGGTGTCCTGACTGATCTCCTCAAAATATTTGCCTATCAACTTCTTCTCTTGTATAAATTTCACATTGGCCAAGACCTCAGCAGACAGCTCAATTGCTTGGTTGAAACCATTTTCCCCTCCATAAGAAACATCGACCACATTTAAAATCTTTGCCTGAAGACGAGGATCAAACATATCAGACTGGCTAAGCTCAGTCTTAAAGTCAGCTGATCCAGCTAGTATCAGACCTGAAACGTTAGGCTGGCTAGTGGCAGGATTAATATAAAACTGGGTTGCAAGCTCAGCTGTTTTCCTCACATAGTTGTGACGTTTCTCCATCCGAAGACGAGCAAAACGCAGAGCAGACTGACCTCCTCTTCCATGTTTTTTGGGCAGATCAACACTAAACTTGTGAAGGACCTCCCTGGTATTGCCACTCAGTGTCCCAAAAAGTGTCCCATTCCCATCCATCACAATAAACCCGAACTTGTCATCGGATTCCAAAAGCTCATTCAAGGCTTCTGTGTGGAACTTGTTATCACAAAGATATAGAGATGCATTAATGGGCCTGAAGGGCTCAAAATCAATTGTAACCTTCTTCTCTTTCCCATCTTCAGTTATGATTGTTCCGGTATAAAGCACAAGCCCATTTGGTGGAACCTTGTTATAGAGTTTAAGTCTCTGCTGAGCAGATGTAATTGCACCCAGCACAGATTGACGATTCACTCTACTTTTGATGTTTGATGCAGTTCCAAACTCATCTCCAAGCATCTTAGTGACCCTAGATACTTGATCCCGTGGAGGCATGATTAGAGAAATCATGCTGGTACCATTGCCTCGAGCAGCTTCGAGTGCCTTAATAAGTTTCTTGATCTTCCATATCTCGATATTCTTATCATTATCATGACTGTCAGCCATCACTGAATATCAACCTGTAGTTCAAAGATTCTCAGATTAGTAGTACACAGACAAAGACAGTAAGTAGGGCTAACACCAAGTGAAAAAACAAATACCACACCATCAAATAAACTAATCAATTGACATCTATTGAGTGCTAAACTTATGACGGGCAGAACCAGTTTATTATTTTCGGGTAAAGTTACAATATCCATTTAGAAGTTAGTATAGGAACTTTCACAAGCTTTCTAAAACATCCAATTTTCCCCACCTCCACAACCGAGCTTTGTAAAGCATCCAATTTTGTACTTCCACAATTAAACATCTACTCTCGTTGATAATGTTCGCTAGTTCACTACTTCAACATGGCCTAGTGTTACAGTGACAAATAAGTTCTTCACAGGGGCTAATCTACATAACAAAAATATTTGATCATAACGAGTGTTCAATTATAACGTGTAAGATTTACTTTCTTTAAAAAAAAATCCAGCAATTTCTCCAATAAAAGTAGCTACCATAAAATAATTTATACAATAATATCTAATTTAAATAATCAGTTTCATAATCCAAGCAAGACAAAATAAAAACACACAACATCCATAGATAACAACGTAAATCATACAGATACTTCACGTAGTTAATTAGATCAACCATACCTCAAATAACGACAAACAATAATAAAAAGAAAGAAAAACAAATAATAAATAACAAACGAATAAATCACTCATCAATATGTAAAAAGGAAATACAATTTACAAGTTTCAAACCCCAAAAAAAAACGAAAACGAAGTTCAGCGAACGCACCTTATTAAGGTAACAAACATAAAGTAGATCATATAATACTATTATCTAGTTTAAACCACCAGTTTCAAAATCCAAACCAAACTAAAAGAAAAGAAACATACACAGAATCCATAGATAATAATATAACTCAATACTTCACCTAGTTAGATCGATCATACCTTAAATAACCAAATATTATAATAAAAAAGGGAAAAGAAAATGAATATATCACTCATTATTATGCGAAAAGGGAACACAAATTTCACCTTTTCACACAAAAAAAAAAGATCGAAAAGCAAGCTTCGCTAACACACATAAAGTAGATTATATCATAACATCTAGTTCAAATCAAAAGTTTCATAATCCAAACCAAACCAAACAACAACAACAAACGCAAAGGTGGAGTCTGAGGAGGGTAGTGTGTACGTAAACCTCACCGTTAGAAGGTAGAGATATTATTTCCGATAGAATCTCAGCTGAACGAACAATAATCCAAACCAAACCACACACAAAAAAAAGATACACATGATACATAGATAACAATATAAATCGATACAGATACTTCACCTAGCTAGATCGATCATACCTCAAATAACCAAAAAATTAAAACAAAAAACAATAAATTAATTTTAAAAAATGAGTAAATCACTCATCTATATCTTGAAAAATCACAAATTTCAGCTTTCACACACAAAAAATCCAGTAATTTGTCCAATAAAAGTAACTCACATAAAAATAAATCATACTGTAATATCTAGCTTAAATTATCAGTTTCATAATCTAAACCAAACAAAAAAAAGAAAAAAAATCACACAATTCGATCGATCAATTCATACCTCAAATAACCAAAAATTATAACAAAAAAAAAACAAACAAATCACTCATCAATATACGAAAAATAAACACAAAATTTCAACTTTCAAACTAAAAAAAAAGTCGAAAAATTATTTTAGCGAACGTACCTTATTAGAGAGAGATGAAAAAAAAAATCTGCGCAGATCAATAGAGATGAAAGAAAAGACTGACACGGCAGTTTATGGAATTTTTGAGAAAATGGAGGGGCTCTTTTTTATATATAGTCATTCTATAAGGGCCCACAATGAAAATATATTAAAATACCGACTTTTCTTCTTATCAATTTCCAATTTACTTCCCTCTAAAGATATTTTATTCTTTTTTTTTCTTTTTTTTTTTAAAATAGGAAACGAACACTTGGCTATTACATGTCAATTGTTCCTTGGTATTATATTTTATAGATGTTCGAATCAAACTTTTATTGCGACATGTTATAAACAGTGGCGAATTTAGGTGCAAAAAATAGGGCACCTGAATCCATGGTCTCTTCGTAAAATTAGATATTTTATGTATATATTTTCTAACATTTGTATAATATTATATTCTTACGCTTGTACTATAAAAAGTCTAGTTGATCCACATGGTTAAATGTTGAGCTTTTGACTTTGAGGACTGAGGATCAATTCCCACTTAATACATTTTTCTTGGTGCACCCATATTCGAAAAATCCTAGGTAATACATTTTTCTTAGTGCACCCATATTCGAAAAATCCTAGGTTAATTAATGTAGCGCTTTGATACACGTGTTTTGACTATATGTGTTTGTAATACCTCAAAATAGGTGACCTAATCGTTGATGTCCGTCTAAACATATCAATAATCAACTAGTCATAAAGTAAGAAGTAAGCAATGTTTTGAATTTTGAAAGTTTCACATACAACTCGTAAAATCTCACCTATGTTAGTTTAAATTTCTTCAAAAATGATATCAAATGAGTGTTGAATTCTCCATGAATAATACATTTTTGGAGAATATAATACATACGTAATACAACTCAACATTTTAGAGAGTAAATGATAAACTCCCAACTTTATAAATGGTCAATTTTTTTTAATTATGTATATATAGTTAATAATGAATCCCTTTAAAAAAAATTATTTACGCCACTAATAAAACATATGATAATGATATTTTCTTTTGATGTTATTTCTTTTAGCATTAAATGTATCAACCGCTTTCTAATCCACAGCTTGAACCCATAACCTCCTGATCACACAATGACAACTCTTAATGTGATTATGAACACAAGTAAATTTACATTTCAATGTATAACAAGACTAATGTTACAATGAACTTCCATAAATTTAACAATTTTCAGTTTTTTCTGACTATACAATTGTGTTACATAGATGCAGAAAACTAGAGCAACATTAAAGTTATATGCACATAACATATACATTTTTGGACAAATTGTCATTTGTGTTCTCTACTGGACAATCCATGGAGCATTTCTTCTTGAAATGTACATTGATCGATAGGATGGCAACTCGAGCAGGACGTGCTGCAGTTTCAGCTTTAAAGTTCAAAGAAGCTTACATTTGGTGCACGGAGTGTTTAGTTTCATGGTAACGAGGATGTTTCTGCTGTTAATAGATTGAATTCTCGTTCTAAGGTCCACGAAGACTTGTTCTGATGGTTGACGTTGTAGACGTACTCCAGGAAGTATCCGCCATAGGTGATCATAGGTATAGTGGCTCTACAGAATCAAAGTAGATAGATGAGTTAGAATTCCGAAGATCAGTCAAATTTTCTAAGCACAAACCCGAAGAATTTACTGAGACTTGGAATACAATGATAGAATTGGCACTTCGGTCGCTCATTGCTAGAGACTTATCATACTAGAGAAAAATTTATCACAAAATCAGGGCGAACATTATAGAAACCCCAAAAAAGACCTTCACCGTTTCTATGGAAGTTGAAAATTTGGAAGTTGCTTAACAATAATCAACAGTCCATATAGATGCACAATAATTTACTGTGTGTCACATAAATGGATATGCAATTACGTTTTCTCACCTTAGTACCACATGTTCAGGTGTTGCTGTCCCGTCAAATTTCTCTATTTTGCGGATCAACGTATTACTGCATGATAGTATTTACGAAAAAAGTTTGATGAGAGAATTTCACTGAGATTTATTTCATATAGCTAGAAAAGTAGGCTAATAAATGTCCAATCTGAAGAAAGACAACTAGAATTCAATAAAAGACTACAGAAGACAATTTAGCTTGCCTTTGTTAAATACGTATCGAAAGTTGCAAATACTTGTGCCAATTTAGTATATGCCAAAAACACCAAATTTAGTTGATATAATGTGTGGATTGAATACAATACCTTCTCACGCCAGCCGGGACAGCATGATGCAGTATGCAATGCTGAGCAGGATCCAGGGCATCGTTAATAGTATGAGGTACTTTTATTGATCCTAGAAGACCAGAAGACCTTGTACAATTTACAGTAGAAGTAAGAAGAGCAACAAAAAAAGCAAAGTAAATTAGGTCTAATTCTTGGATTACGAAATAGAGATGTGCATACTGATGTAAGAACTAATTCCGGGAAAAGGTGAAAAAATCTAATAGCCAAATGAGCCCGTCAATTATATTCTAAAAGAAGACAAGAAAGTGAAATGGGGATGAGAAAGGGAAACAAAGATATAATTTTTTGCTCTCTAGCCATTAGCCAATGTTCGGATTTGAGATGCTTATACAATCCTAAAAGATGTTGGCGTCCATGCTTATTGCACTTGAGAAATTGAGTTCTCACCTTTGATTTGGGGGTGAACCCAAAGAGAAAACATGAACAGAACCAGAAGAACTAGTCGCAAGAAGAATATCTGGAAGTTCTGCCGCTGGCGCGAATGACAAAGAAAAGATATTTGAAGAGTATGATCCTCTCCTGAAGCTATACGACTGCCAATGGATAAGATAAGATCCATTAAGATACTAAAATAATAATCAATCAAAAGGCGTAATTCAAGTGAAGTTGTAACACAGAAGCATCAATTACCAACAATGTAATGACATGTAACATAACATATCGCAAGTGAAGCAGCACTTTCTCACTAGGTAGTTACCTATTTCTCTTTGATACGATAATTACTTTAACTACCTGTTTATCGTTCTCATTTATCCCAAATAGGACTTGATATTTTTAAAATATATTGTTTAGAAAGAACGGTAAAGTCATATTTGTTGGAACTGCAAAGTGAACTATTTCATACATAGTTATCTCTTTTCAATGTTTGTCTAGTTTTGACTTGACACGAAGTTTAAGAAAACTCCGTACAATGTTAGACCACTTGTACAAAGCAAACTTCATTCATGACTTTGCAGTTTACTTTGCAGTTCGAACATTGTCCTTCCGTTTCAATTTGTTTGTTTAGTTTTGACTTGGCACGAAGTTTAAGAAAATAAAGGAACTTTTGAATCTTGTGTTCTTAAATTAAAGATATGTAGGATGTACCAAAGTGTCATTTAATCTTGTGGTCTTACGCATGCCCGGTGGAAAGTTAGAAGTAAAGAGTTGCCAAAAAAAGAAAGTAAGACAGACAAATTGAAACAGAAGGAGTACTTATTAGTATCACATTTAGATACAAATGTGCTTGAGGGTTCACCTTAGTTGCATCTGAAACAAGATGAATTCTGATCATGGTCCCTTGTTCAGATGCTGTTGCAATGTGAGTTCCACCTGATGAAAGACTCAAGACAGCCAATGGTGAGCGATGAGCATCTATCTGCATTTTATAACAGCAACTGAGATAAGATAAAATCCCACCAT